CAAATGAAGTTTAAGCATCCAAACCACCAAATTTCTTTACCTTATGACTGCTTCCACCACTTATTATTTTCAGTACGAAACCTGCACATTTTTCAGCATGTTGGTTTTGGGGAAGGGGGAATACCTGCCCCCTGCTCTTTGCACTGCCACTACAAGCTCTTCTGCACCCACTGAATAAGAAGGAGCAAAGAGACTCTCAGAGCTGCTGTCAGAAGAGTTGGGTTTTGTTTGCGATGCAGAAATATTAATAAATATCTCATTAAGATTATTTAGTGGAATGCAGAAATATTATATATACATATATATGTGTGTATGTATGTGTGTGCATATATTTATATATACACACTCTAGCTACCAGAAAGGAGGCTGGATCCTGTTGGCTCGTGACAGGAGTTAATAAGAACACCATGTCTCAGACTTGCAATTTTTGTAAAAATAGAAAGCATGAATATACTTGACAGCTCTCCCAGATTCCTCCAAACTTACAATGCCATTTTGAAAACGGCTCTCCTATTTCTGGGAATCTGCAAGTGAAAGAGAAACAACGGTCCATTTACTACTAGCATCTATTCCAGCAACTGTTTTTGKTTTTGCTAAACATTTGAAAATCAGTCTAATTTTCTTGGTTGAAGAACAACATCAAGACATAAAATTTAATTRTTTTTATTCATATACACTTTTCCAATACTAATCATTCATCACTGTAAAAGATGTATTGCAATATCAGTAACTCACCTTTGATCACTGTACTGTCCATCCTAAATTACTCACATTTTTATCCAGAAAAACACTGCTGGAATAAGATTGTTTTCTGTTATTATTGAATATGCTAGAAACACTGATTTAGTTTGTTGCTGGCTCCAAACATTACTGTTTTGTAATAATTAATCTTACAGCAGAGACACTGTATTTTTATAGCGTCAAAACTCAAGTTTAATGTGCTGGAGTTCAGACTTTTTTGTCTGCTTGCAGACTAAATCCATACCTCCTTYCCTGCCCCACTATTTATTTGTAAGTATATCCAGCTGGTGCAAACCCAATGGTGCCAGGAAAAGGGAAAATTAAAGCATCCGTGAGGCTGCAGCGGCTTCTAGCATGTAGGAGGAGCATACAGAAATCTAGTTCGAAGTATGTTTTTATAGTAGTCCAATTAAGGAAGCTAAGAAAATCATACAGATAGCCATTTCCATTTCAGTCTGGCCCTATTTCCATTTCCCTTGGCAAACAAGGTTAGGAATGGCTTATTCCAATGAAACAGGCTAAAGTCAAAGCAAGAACACCTGCCCAGTTTTTTAATTTATTTTGATCACCTAAGTTCACACAGAAGTTTACAAAACCTGACAGTGCTTATCAGCATCCCTGCTGTGCCTGAGAATGGGGAAGACTGGGGGAAGAAACTATGTAAGAGCATTAGGAAAATAAGCCCTGTCTCAGATCTGCCTGATCATGGTTTTCTCTTTGTCCTCAGAGGTGCACGGGGAGCACTGAGAGGTTTGGATCTGCCACAAAATATTTCCCTGCCCATTTGTTCTGCCTGTTCATTCAGGAGCTTTTTCTTCTTGCTGCAGAAACGTGGAGGAATGAGAGTGTGGTTAGCAGCCTAAAACCCCCGACAGCTCTTTCCCCTTGGTCCAAACAGGAGCGTAAAATTAGAGGAAGAAACCCAGTGGTGTTCCTCTTTTGCCAAAGGAGGTTTGAAATGGAACATCTCCTATATGTGCCCAAACGTATGTGTACTTTAATAAAAATCATGATACCAGGAGTTAAGGGACTTTCCATTTATGACACACAGTGATCGATCCACAAGGTGACGTAGAAGTGAAGAGTCCCTATTTCCCAATCATCCCTCACATTAAAATGCAATGTCTCTCTGTTTGTGGAAGCTTTTAGATGCTGACAAAATATGAATGCTGAGCACATTAGGCTTCCACCTCCACTTATGAGCTCTTAGCACTGCTCAAAGCCTGGCCCTTCTCTGGTACATTTGGGAATGACCTCCCTCCAGTTTCTAATATGTTTGCAATACCGATCTGTCTGCAGAAATTCCACAAGGAAATTTGCTACTGTCATGTAGCCGTGATCTAGAGCATTTCAATGGCAACTAACAAATCATTTATAGCAGCACAGAGAAAAATGTGAAAAATGTGAAATGTGACAAGTAGAAAGCTCTAATACAGCAAATTCTGTTTACTGTATAAACAGGTAATTCCAGCCTGTCCCTTCTCCCTCATTCACTGTTTATTATCAACTCCTACAGCACAGAAACACAAATATAAGTTACCACGTTAAGCCTGTTCTCCAGAAGAAATGAAGTTAATGTCAGTATATAGCRGTTGTGTACTGCAATGTAGATTCCCTTTGGAATCCACAGGCAAA